ATACCAAAAGTTTTGGTACGACAAAGGTATGAGAGAAAATATTCGGTATACCGTACCGAACCACCCCTAGTTATAGTGTGACGGGTCGATCCATTTCCTGATCACATATGAGCAAGTGCAGGTGTCCCCTGCCTGTGCCTAGGCCGAGCATTCGCTCAGGGGCGAACATAAGGGTTGTTAGGCTCACCATCTTATTGATGCCGCTCGGCTTGGATGAGGTTGCTCACCTCCTTTCCTGGTTTCGGTGTGGGCCCTTTACTCTGTCTCGACCCTTTTCTTGGTCTTGTTCGACCTCAGATGGGCGCCCGGAGTGGTCCTTGTTCGAGAGGCAAGGCAAGAGGTGCTTAATGATGTTAGGCCAGTCCATTGTCTGGGTGGCCCAATATCCCAACAATATGATTTTTGTCAAGTCTAAGGTAATAAAATATAAAAAGTGTTGTCTCGGGCAAAATCTTGCCAACTAACAAAGTGGCAAAATAAAAAATAAGTTTAACAATAAAAGGTAGAACATACTAATGATGAGAAGTTAGTCTCCCTCTGTTCCCAAAAATACTTCCAACTTTCCTTTTTGGGCTGTTCCCAAAAATACTTCCCACTTTCCCATTTTGGACAATTTGTGTGGCTCACATTCATTTTACCTTTTTCTTACACAACCACAACCATACATTTCCACTTTATTCCACTTTCTTAATAAGCGTGTCAAGTCAAACCGGGAAGAATTTTTAGGAACGGAGGGAGTATGTTGTAAGGTGAAAATAGAAATTCGTAAATTTCGTCATCTTTAATATGGTCTCAACTAGCGCTTCTATCTTGAACAATCAGCTTCCTTCCCCAAGAGTTGTTTTCCCATTTTCGCAATGGAGGCAATAAGTGTTTTTTAACCCTTTTGATGGCATTCTTGATGTTTCTGAGAGAAAGGTTCTTGAAGTTAATCTGGCTTCTAACCATGTCAGGCACATCAACAAGACCATGTTCTAGTCTATGACATCAACAATGATGACATGCCTGCCATTTTCCTTTTCATAGTTGATGATGGCAAGCTTTCTGATCTCAAAATACATCTTGAACAACATATTTGTCGGGGAGGAGTGACAGAGAATGATTGCTATGTGAATCATAAGTTAGTTTTCTATGCTACTATTTTTGTGAAGTTAATGATTGAATGGCGCATATTATGTTATCTAGTCAAAAACTCATTCAAGTAATAAAACCAATAGAAAAATAATTCTTAATAAAGGATCAATTTTATTTTTTTTAATTTAACTTATGATGGATGAACAAAGCTATGTGGATGGTTTCTTTTAATATATCATTATTGATATCATTTTCAGTAACAACACATTGTTTGTGGTCTTGAGCTAATTCAAGTTGAAGATTGCTATTAGTTATACTTACTTCCACTATTGCATTGCGAGGTTTAGAGAGTTGGGATAGGTGTTGAAATACAACATAACTCGTGTCATTCCTCATAGAATCTTTTTTCTCATCCCCTCTTAATGATAGAAAGAGTGGTTTAACAAAGGAGGAAAGGGTCAATTGAGTACATCAACTTGTATGAAGTGAAATAAAGAGTACACTGTATTGCATTTGATATTTCTAAGTACACAAACTCAATTTTTTGTATTAATTGAGTACATCCGGTAAATTAACGCGTTAATTCATCTGAGTTGGCTAACAAAATGCTAATAGGTTGACTTCTTGAAGGTCGATGCCAGCCCTCGACTGCTTGGTCGACTTTTCCTTGGACGATGTCAGTCCCCCGCATGTCGACTTTCCCTTGGTTGATGCACCCCCGCAGGTTGACGCGCCCCCCGCAGGTCTACCTATGAAAGTCAACTTCCCCCTTTTGGTCGACACCATAACAGTGACTGTTACCCTTCTTACTTAGCAATCTGTTAGCCAACTCAGCTATATTAACGTGTTAATCTAAGGAGTGTACTCAACTAACACTAAAAAATCAAGTTTATGCATTTACGAATGTCAAATGCAACATAGTGTACTCTTTACTCCACCTTATACAAGTTAACGTACTCAATTGGCCATTACCTCTTTAACAAAGTGACAACTCCCAATGGGTAAATTGTTCATCCACCAAAGTTAAATATGGTGTTATTGTTTCACATTCATATCCAACTTTAACGTCACTTGTCATTTAACATTATGGTATGAGTTGGGAGGTATAATAAGAACATATGCTTAACAACAAATTATCAACAAGTACAATCTCAAGTTTATATATAATCATCACAAAGTGTATGCATAAAACTGAGTGGGTAGTAGTGATTCTACCAACAGATGTGTGAGGTTGCTCTAAATCCTATATAACAGACATGTTTATGTACACATAACTATTGTCATATCAAATATTTATATCCTTTTAAAACGTTGGTTAAGTGGAGGCCTTTTGCTCGGATGAGATACAAAATGCATTACATTTATTTGGATGAATATGCAATGATTATCCTATATAACAGGAATGTTGATGTACACATAACTATTGTTATATCAATTAGTTATATCAATGACTTGCATGTAAAATCATCCACAAAAACCATAAATGGTTTGGATGATCGCAATTTGAGGTACATAAGTCCATATATGTCGCAAGTTATTCCATGTAAAAATGTGAATGTTTTTTTATTCATAACATCTGAAGGTCTCAATGTTATTTACTCTAAAGTACATACTTTGCAGAAAGAATACACATATGACAATGTCAATGAAGCTGTACAAAATCTCTTCTTGTATTTTGGAAATTACATGTTGCTATCCAGCAGTATTTGGAGCGCCATTTTGCATTCTCATGTCTTATCCTTTACTAGGAAGAAAAGCTTTCCAAATCAGTTGTGTGAGTCAATATCACATACAGACACAACAATCGAAATAATAGTGATATACATTTACTAGATTGACTTATTAGTTTCTCTAATATTCATTTTTTGTTCATCAAAAGTAATATATTTATTCTATGATTTTTAATTTGTTCAATGATTTTTTCATGTACTTCTATATGAAAATTGGTGTCATAAAATAAAGGTAATTAATGAAAATGTAGAGTGTAAAGCAATGTAAAAAAAATACAAAGCAAGAATGTAAATATTTACTCCCTCTGTGCCTGAATTATCATCCAACTTTTTTTTTGTCCATCCCAAAATAACCTGCATTTTTTTTTCTGGCAAAGATTTTGTGGCTTACAACAATTCTTACACATTCTTATTTCAGCCTCTTCAATACAAGTTTTCACTATAAAATTTTCATTATCTTAATTTCTGTGCCAAATGTAATTTGGAAGATAATTTAGGGAGGGAGGGAGTATGTAGGTGTGTTTGGAAAGAGAAAATAGAAAGAAGTTAACTTTTCGTATACATCAATTTGGATGTGAAAGAATACTGCAAATTGAGTCATATGATGTGCATTTATCCGGTTCGTATATAGTGCATCCGGGTGTACGTACACCCGGTCCAAGTAAGAAAGACGGTCCAACCACTAATACAGGCAAAAAAAATTGGTGGCATATTTGTAATTTAAGCGAAAATTCATGGCTTACGCTAAATGAGCAATATTGTACGTTTAGTGAGCATCCAACCTATTTTATTGAGTATTACGAGGCTAACAATGAGTAACACGATCTCAAATTCATATCTTCTAATTTTTGTTCTTTTTCTTATTTTTTCTTTTATAAAAACCTATTAAATTATATCTATCATACACTCTTATGAATTTCAATATGTGAATTTAGTGTAATATGATACTTTTGAAATATGCATTGATATGACATTTTAAAATGAGCATAACATCAATACAAAATGAGCGTACATAACTAAAAAAATGTTAATTGATATGAAAATCGTAAAGTTTGTTAGTTTGACATAACGACATTTTCAATGAGCATCAAACCTTCTCTGTTGAGATAAAAATCACAGTTTCTGTTAAATGAGCATTAATGAACTTTTAATGTGCATCAAACTTATTATGAGTATTAAAACACTTTCAATGAGCATCACACTTATTCAGTTGAGTATTAGGAACTACTTACAAAAAGAGTATCGAAAAATCCAAAATGTCATTTGAAATTGCTAATGTGCTCAAATCCTTATTTGTCTATACTCATTTTGTTTAAACATTATGCTCATTTGGCACGTGAGAGCGATGTGGCAAGGGTGAGATTGATTTGTCAGGTCAATCTGAGTGGAATGTAGTCTATATAGAGCATTAACGTTTTCCTATAGAATCTCTGCAACACCAGAGATGGAGGAAACACAACGAACTTCTCGGAGAAGATGACTGATGCTCGTTGGGGTGATCTTTTCCGGTGGGATTACTGCTGAAAACATTTTAAAAATGAGCATACCAGAGATACTAAATGAACATACATAATTTACAAAATGAGTATTCAAAAATTCAAAAGCTCATTTGTATATGCTCATTTTTAGGCATTTTACTCATTTGAGTTTAAGCTAAAACTCATTTCTAAAGTACTCAGAATAATATATAAAAAAATCAACAAATAAACAAACGAAAAGAAGTAAAAAATAAGACTAAACAAAATAAAGTAAAATCAAAAGCAAAGAAAAAGTCAAAAGCAAAAGAGAAAACTAGATGGCGGTTGTGCACAGAGCAAAAAGCAACATCTTGACCACAACGAAACAACATTGAACGACGCTGCGTACTTCCTTCACCAGATCGGCGTTTCCTTCATCCGAACACCCAGCGAGCGAGTAGCAGCGGAAGAAATTTTTAGGACATCTAACAGATCGGCTCTTCCTTCATCAGACTTCAGCGAGCTAGCAGATCAACGCCTCCATCATCATACCTAGCGAGCAGCAAGGGATCGGAAGACAGAACATTCGCCATTGAGGTTCTAATTAATTTCAAAAATACCCGGATGTACGGTTAGAAGCGTACATCCGGGTGTACGGTATAATTTGCGGCATTTATCCCGATAATGCAACACAAAACAATGCTTTTACTTTTACTCAGCCAAACACAACCTTGCACGACTCGCACACAAGCTCGGACTCCACTCGGTCACTCGGGTCTATTTCACACTACCCGTCGGTCTTGGGTTTAGGCCCCGTGATTTCTACAACTTCCACGTTTAGAGATTCATTTCAACCATTCATGGCTTTTCCCCATCCGCAGGACTCGCCTACAGGAGCTACCGCCGATCAGATGAATCTCACCGTAGCGTCGTCTCCTTTAACTCCGCCGGCAAGTGCAATTTATGCTTTCTCATTCCTTACACAATTGCAATTAAGCATTCACCAGATTGTAACAGGCGTTTACCTACTGTAGTCGTTATGATTTTGTATGAATGAATGGAAATTCTTGATTTTAGCAATCACTTGGAGTTTTTGAATTTCAGTCTGGAAAATAGAGTTTAGCTCCTGTAATGGATTTTTTAGCATTCTGTCAGCAAGGGATTCCTACCTTATCCCTCCTACAATGCCGTCCAAGAACAAATGCAATTTCTGAAGTTTGGCATTTCAATTTTGAATCTTTTCTTCCGTTCTTACTATGTGTTGTTTTTATAAAAAAATCCTTGAATGGATTATACGGAATAGTGTTTCACAAACATGGTCATGGGTTTAAATGTGGCCTACGGCATATTTGGCTTGAGAATTGTTGCGGAAAAGGAAAACAACACTTGGCTCCATAACTTTGTAGGCTGCATGTTCATGTGGGGAATTGATTGGTTAAGTGATTGGCCCCATAACTTTAATTTTACTAATGTACTTGGAGGTGAAGTAAGGATGTAAGTTAGCTGAGAAAGCAAGCATCTTCTTAAGCTTGGGTTGGTATTTTATTGAGCCTGCAAAAGAAGCATTGGGGGCAAGTTAACTGAGTGAGCCAATGAGTAACATAACTACTTGAGCCTCTCAAGTGGTATGTCACTCTCTTGGAGATGTGCTCATGCTCATAGACCCTTCGAGTCGGGCCAAACTGTTTACCACTTTATTGTATTTCATCAGTTCCTTTTTCTTTTTTTAGTTTTTCTTTTTTTAGCAGTTCTCTAGTCAGACTTGATCCTAGTGTGATTGCCCATGGTTTATATGTGCTTGCTCCAGCTTCATGTTTCTGATCTTGGTATATGCGTTCATATTAAGCTGTACCTGAATAGTGCTGTGCCTGGACTGGGTTGACACAAGCATGCTCCCCAAAGCTATAGAGATTTTGGATTAGTGATTTATTAAATTAAGACTTGAGGTTACTTAGAAAAGTTTAGGAGTAACCAAAGCCGTATATGTGAGTTTGTATTTTTGTATTTAGCGGTGTGGTATGATGTTACATGGTTTACCTACATAATAACTTTGATAATATTTCCATCAGAATAATCTCTCTTTCTTTATGACTTTTTAAATTTATCGATCATATATACTTAAATAATGATATTCTGTATGGAGTATTTATTACTCCCTCCGTCCCGCTAACAATGGGACAAGAGGGAGTGACACACAAATTAATAAAAAGTGGTTTATGTGGTTGATATTGAATTGATAAAGTAAGAATAAAGTAAGAATGATTTAGAGCCACACAAACTTTACCAAATTTGGTATGAGACAATCTTAGTGGGACGGACCGATAAGGTAAAATGGGACAATCATAGCGGGACGGAGGTAGTAGTATATTGATACTAGTATTATTTTTGGGAATAAATATAGGGTTAGTCATACTTGGAGAAACTGTATATGAGTTAGTATTGTTTTGGATAAGTTTTCTTCCAGTGTAGTGTTCTACAAACTTTAGATCCAAATGTTTTCTCTTAAAGATCTGGTTGATCATGGTGACTCCTTAATTCCTAATTTCCATTTTTGCAAAGGCGCACACACAGTCATATTTTGCGAAACTGGCAAATTGGCCATACTATCAAGAAAATGGCAACTGGCCCTCACACACAAAAAAAAATAGTTTTACAACTTGCTATTTTCTGCTAGTGTACATCCTGGATTGCCCCCCCCCCCCCCATAATTTTTCAGTTTGTGTAACACAAGTTGGTGTTTTTCTCAAAAACATATTGCTGTGTCTTTGAAGTGGAAGGAAAGTTGACAGTTAGATTTGTATATTTGAAGATAATATGGAGACTTTGAAAAGAATGAACTTCCAATGCACTTCTTGAGTATTTCTGTGTTTATTATTTACAATGGGGTGTGTTCTAACTTCCAAGTAGTTTTTGTGCGCTCTTTTTTTAGATGGTAGAAGGAAACAACCAAAATATTATGGATACGACAGATCTGGCTGACACAAGCACAGGTGAGAAACGGAAAAGAGAAGGAAAGCTTAGATCTGTTGTTTGGCAACATTTCTCAAAGCTTATAAGGGAGGACGGGACCTGCGAAAAATGCAAGTGTGGCCATTGCAATAAGCTTTTCACTTGCTCAAGCCGAAGCGGAACAACACATTTGCTTCGCCACTTAACTGAGGGAAGATGTCCAGTCTTTAAGCTTGACAAGAAGGATGACCACGCACTTACAAATACAATCAGTTTCAGTTGTTCTAGTGGTAAAACTGATAGAAAAAGAACCATGCTTCTTCCTTGGAAATTCGAACAGCCACTTGCACATCAACCCATTGAACACTCCATTGACATGGCCAATGACTTCTTCGTAGGGGAGGAGGGCTTAGAAGATCTTGACCCTCGAACCAGCGGATACCCAGATGGTGACTTGGTAGGACAATCGTCAACATCTGCTGCATATGCTAAACTCCCTCAACAGAACACAAAAAGATCTCAATTGAGTGGAGAGACATGGGTGAATGAGTTGAGGGCATGCACAAGCAAACTTGTCAAACTCACAAATGAGCAATGTCCTAACAGTTTGTTCTTGAAGACTTGTTTTGCTGGAAGTGGTCCTGATTACTCGCTACGTACAGCCATACAGTACTTGAATGAAATGGAAGATACTATTCCAGAGTCGAGTACAATGTACCTAGATGCTCTTGATATTATCAGAGATCCAGTAGAAAGGGAGTGTTTTCTTTCTCTAAACCCAGAGCCACGTAGAAAATGGCTTCAAAGGACACTACACCGCCGATATCCTTCTCGCTACAATAAAGACTTTTAACCGAATTTTTTATTTGTGTTCGAGACTTTTCATCTTGTTGTACTGTGTGTTGAGCTCGTGGGAAACTGGGAATGAAAACAAGAAAATCTAAAATTCTGTTGTACTTGTTCTCAATATTTTCTTAAGTTCAAAACTAACACCGAATTATGTATAAACAGTTAGCAAGGTAGAAATTAGATTTTATTTAGGCGAAGTATACGGGGCATTAAAAATGAACATTTTCTTGAGGCATATCTATACATCATACATTCATTTCAGGGAAAATCGCACATTTGACCCCCCAATTATCCACCATAATGAAATCCCAAACCCGTGTTTCAGGTTTTCTAAATTTCACCCCCGAGTTGTCCGAATAATTATAAATGTCACTCCCGCTGTTATAAAAATTACAAATGCCGTCTATCTTTCATTTTAATCAGGGTTAAACTTGTAACTTCACATCCTTTTCGTCTAAAAAGCCTTAATTCGAATTATCCCAACCCTTTATCCCGCTTATCCCCCGCTTATCCCAATACTGTGCTCTGAGTTTTTTCCCCCGCCAAGTCTCCATTGCCATGGACGTTCAAACGCTGAAGGTGTATTGAGGCCCGGATTCCGCTTTCAAGGTCGAAGTTGTGAAGGAAAGAAAGATGACCAGTCGAAGACTCAATGGGTTAAACGCGACTCCAAAGTGTAAGTACGCAAACCAAACTTCTTTATTGTTATATATGGGGACGTTTGTTAATGTGAAAGGCAATGACATGTATGGCAGTATGGGTTGTATGGTATCTGAAGTTGACATGCACACACTTACATGTAAGAATTTGGTGTTGAGTGTTGGTGTCATTGCTTTGAATAACGAAAGTGTAGAACGTAAAGTGCTTTGCTCGATGGCTTCGTATTTTTATGTTATTGTATTTGAATGGTTGATTTGAATTGTTAGGTGTATTTAAGGATTCGTTTTATGTTTTTTTCCAGTATTTGTTATGATTTCTAGAAGAATGAAGTGTTTGTATTACTTGAATGTGCTTTGTAGATACAAAGGATGAGAGATATACTTACACAATCAAAATGCATTATGCTGGAGATTTGGTGCATGAACCAAGAGCTCATTATAAGAATGGGAGAATTGAGTACTTCGATTACTTTAATGGAGAAGAGGCAAGTATGTTAGATTTAAGAAAGATGGTGAAGAAGCTAGAGTTCTGTGATAGGAAGGTTGTATTTTGGTTGAAGTATGAGTCTGCCAAATTCCCTAATGTGAGAAAAATAATGACAAATGAAGACTTTTTCAACATATGTTATGAGCTTCCAGAAAATAGGGAGGTGGAAGTGTTTGTTGACCATGTCATGGAAGATCAGTGGGATTACGGGGTGTAGGTTTCTTCTTTTATAGCTTATGAGGTGCAACAGAAAGATGATGTACAAGACAACGATGCTGACAACACTACCATGAGCAACACTTCAAGATCTACTACAAATGCAGACACATTTGAAGACATCGTGTATTCTATGGGAGTGGAAGACAAAGACAAAGATACTGCCACCAGTGCCATGAACACCAACAATGAGTTTGTAGATCAGGGAATGCAAGATTAGGAAGAGAATGATTGTGTATATTCTGAAGATGACCTAAGAAGTTTGGCTTCAAATTCTGATAAGGAGGACACTGAAGAAGCTTATGTGTTTCAAGAAAGAGACTTGAAGAAGGATGGCTTCAAATTTGCCCTTGGTATGAAGTTCAAGAGTTTCTCTGAATTCAAGTGGGCTGTCACATACCATGAAGCTAAAAACAACAAGGATATAAGGTTCCCTCAGAATGAACAGCGTAGGGTAAGGGCAGTATGCAAGCATGAACACTGCAATTGGACTATATTTGGCTCGAAAAGTAACCCCGGTTGTCCTTTCACAATCAAAACATACGTTCCCGAGCATACATGTGGTGATCAACATGATAACAAGACAATCACACCTGGTTTTCTTGCTAAGGTGTATCTAGATGAGTTCAAGATCAACAAGAAGTGGGGGAGAAAGGAGTTTCAACAGCATGACAAGAAGAAATACAAATGCAAGGTAAGTAAGCATCAATCTTATCGTGCAAGGAGAATGGCAATGAAGAAACTGGAAGGTGAAGACAGCAAACAATTTGATTTACTCTGGGACTACTGTGAAGAGTTGAGGAGGAGCAATCCTGGAACTACAGTCAAAATGAAACTTGATGGTTATTTGCTATGGAGCATGTAGACAATGTTTCTTGAGTGGTTGTAGACCTCTCATAGGTCTAGATGGGTGTCATCTTAAGGGGTCTCAGAAAGGTGGGCAACTTTTGTCAGCCATAAGAGTAGATCCCAACAATTCCATGTATCCTGTTGCATTTGCAATTGTGGAAGGGGGGCTCAAGGAAAGCTGGTCATGGTTCCTTGCTATACTAGATGAAGACCTTCAAATATCAAACAATCCAAACTCATGGACCATAATATCATACAAGCAAAAAGGACTCCTACCGAAGTACCTGATGTACACGTGCATAGTAGTGCAATGGAAACCGAAGTACCTGATGCTATATTGGCAGAAATGGTAAGTAATACTTCCAAAATGTTGAAGTTGTTTAACATCAACTTGTGCCTCATAGTGATTGTCAATTAATGTAGGACCTAATTAACTCTCAACAAAGTACTTCTACATCAACATCTAGACTGGAATCTGTAGAAAGGGATGACCAAGAAAAGGATGCAAGAAAGACTACACAAGCAAGAAAGAATGTGAAGAAACTACCAACTCTTCGTCAAGGGCTAGCCAAGAAAAATAGAAGTCGGTGGAATTTGACCAAGAACATGTGATTTAGTTGAAGTCAGATGGCATTGGATTTATTTTTGTTGGTGTGAAACACTAATGCTATATTATGTATGGCATTATATTTTTGTCTATGTTAAACACTCATGGTATATTTTGGTATGCCTTAACTTTTATGTCCATGCTTAACTCTCATGCTATATTTGGTATGGCATTATATTTTTGAAGGCCGTGTGACACACTTTAATGTTGTGTACCAACCTCATGTATAAAAACTTATGGGTAAATCTGTTTGTGTATAATGAAATGGCTATTTTGTATAATTTGTATGTGGTACTATAATTTGAATGTTATATTGTATATATGGTTATATTATATTGGTGTTAGTTGTTTAGGTTGGAATGCTTATGAGTAATGTTTTTTTGAATTGGTCTTGTTTGATTACATTCAAAGTAGACAACAATAACAAGTGGGGAACACATTTGAACATTGGGTTTGAACATTGAATAACAACTAACACATTTGAACAAATGGTCTTGTTTGATTACATAAACTACAAGCAAATGAACTACACAAGAAAACTACGTATTACAAACACACTTCTCACAAATGAAGTAAACAACAACTTCTCACGAAATAAGGGTACAATTACAACAAAACTAAATATTACAAGCACACTTCTAGCTACCCTTCTTTGGTCTTCTTGTCAAATGGAATTGTCAAAGTTAGTGTCATTTTCCCACCTTCGGCCATTGTAGCTTGTGCAAACATTTGTATAAGTTCACAAACATCACCTTTCACCTTTGCATCTCCACTTCTTTCACCTTCTACACTTGGACCTTCCCTTCCATTATTGCTGCTTTCACCATTTTTCCATTCAAAGTAATTGCATTGTGTGCAATTGTAGAACAATCTGCGTTTATTCTTTGCAACCTTTGTTGTAACCAAGCATCTTTTAATGTCAATTGAACAAGCAGTGCAATTTTTCTTGTTAGGGCATTCATCAAGGAAATGTGTTGAACTCTTGCAACTATGGCATATACCATAATTTGTCAACATATTTCTCCTGCAAAATTAATCAAACCACAAACATCATGACACCCACTCAACCCAAGACATCTGGTTCGATTTTTTGAAAAAAAGAAGAAGAACGAAGTATATGTGCGCACCTGAAGACCAAGAACGGACGAAGGAAGAGAGCTCTTCAATACTCCAAACGGCTGAAGAACGTATCAAGGAAGAGAGCTCTTCAGGGCGAAGGAAGAACGGTTGGAGAGGAACGAACGAAGTAAGGGTTGGGATAATTCGAATTAGGGCTTTTTAAACGAAAAGGATGTGAAGTTACAAGTTTAACCCTGATTAAAATGAAAGATAGACGGCGTTTGTAATTTTTATAACGGCGGGGTGACATTTATAATTATTCGGACAACTCGAGGGTGAAATTTAGAAAACCTGAAACACGGGTTTGGGATTTCAATATGGTGGATAATTGGAGGGTCAAATGTGCGATTTTCCCTTCATTTAATGATTAATATTATGAGCCCTTCGATAACCCTGTTTTTCGTCTTATCGATCAGCTTTTTCATTAAATACATAATTTTTTATTTGGCGCATTGAATAGTGTAATAATCAAAATAAGTAAGGTTGAAGTTATTTTTCGGGCTGCATTGGTTTAAGTTACTATAGAGAAATATTTTAGCTATTTTTCATACTTCGGAGTATAAGTTTTTCTTTATTTTATTAATACAAAGTATTTCAAACATATGTTTTCATAAATCAGCAAAATCAGCCAATACAACAGTCACTTCATCCAGAATTTCATAAATTTTAGTAGACTCAGTCGATTCAGCCAATTTCAGTGTTACCAAACGGGCTCTACATGTACATCATCCAATGAGGTTGTACACTTGTACTTAATAGGAATGTCTATTAGTTTTTAATGCTCCTAGACTTTATCTTTTAATTTTTGGTACCATATATGTACCTTTGCATTCGATGTGATTGTAATTGTTTTCCGGTGAACAACGATGTGTTTTTTTGGGACCTGAAAGATAGATGAACTATTAATCTGAGACCCGAAAGATGAAATGTATCGATATAGAATCCGAAGGATGAAAAACTATCAATTTAGGACCTAACATTTCTTAGGTTTTGATTTATTTAATTTTTTATTAATTCAATTGCTAATTTTTGATAAACTTTTCTTAACAAGAGTTTGTTAGTTTAATAAAACTAAATAATATTTAGAAAAAAATTAAAAAAAAAACGTGAAAACTTTGATGTTAGATTGATAGCTTTCAATCATTGGATACTTGGGTTGGACAACAAAACAACAGTAGTGTTGTTAGTGACACAACACGGATAAGGAGTCGCAAAACTTTTTTGACATTCACATTAACGAAGTGGTGGCTGGAGTACCTTTGGACAACCAGCATCACTAGAAAATCAAGTGTCACTGGACAGTGGCAGCACCACTTTCACTACATCTTTGTGGCATGTCACTATTGTCAATGTCACTATGGCCAATGATGATCTCCGAACGGTGAGGATCTTTGGCAAGCAACGATCACCGATAGGTGGTGGTGGACCTGGTGGTGGATGTCATTGTGACATTGACAATAGTGACATGCCGCAAAGATGCAGTGAAAGTGGTCCTACCACTGTCCAGTGACACTTGATTTTCCAGTGATGCTGGTTGACCAAAGGTACTCCGGCCACCACTTCGTTAATGTGATCGAAAAAGTTTTGTGGCTCCTTATCTGCGTTGTGTCACTAACAACACTACAGTTGTTTTGTTGCCCAGTCCAAGTATCAAATGATTGAAAGCTATCAATCTAGCACCTAAGTTTTCACGGTTTTTTTTGTTTTTTTAAATATTACTCCCTCGGTCCCAAATTGTAAGATACATTTACTATTCACTTGGTCAACATAAACCACTCTTAATCTTTTACTTTATATATCAAAAGTTTATGAAATTTGAATTATTTTTTGCAAGTTTTGTAACGATTTTAATGTAGTTTCTGAATATGTAAATTTTATTTTCTAAAACTAATTTGAATGTTGATAGGGATCAGTTTGCTTTATCATCAGACAAACATCGTAATCTCTAAAGTATCTTACAAATTGGGACGGAAGGAGTATTTAGTTTTATTAAACTAATAAACTCTTGTCTAGCAAAGTTTATCAAAAATTAGCAATTGAATTACTAAAAAATTAAATAAATCAAAACCGAAGAAATGTTAGTTCCTAAATTGATAATTTTTCATCCTTCGGATTCTATATCGATATGTTTCATCTTTCGGATCTCAGATTAATAGTTCTATCTATCTTTCAGGTCCCGAAAAAAAGACATCGTTGTTCGCTGGAAAACAATTACAATCACATCAAATGCAAAGGTACATATATGGTACCAAAAATTAAAAGATAAATTCTAGAAGCATTAAAAATTACTACCCCCGACCCGCTATGATTGTCCCATTTTACCTTATCGGTCCGTCCCAATAAGATTGTCTCATATCAAATTTGGTAAAGTTAATGTGGCTCTAAATCATTCTTACTTTATTCTTACTTTATCAATTCAATATCAACCACATAATCCATTTTTTATTAATTTGGGTGCTACTTCCTTTTGTCCCATTGTTAGCTAGACGAAGGGAGTAATAGACATTCCTATTAAGTACAAGTGTACAAACTCATTGAATGATGTACATGTAGAGCCCATTTGGTAACAATGAAATTGGCTGAATCAACTGATTTTCACTAAAATTTACGAAATTGTGGATGAAGTGACTGTTGTATTGGCTGATTATGCTGATTTATGAAAACATATGTTTGAAATACATTGTATTAATAAAATAAAGAAAAACTTATATGAAAAATTGCAAAAATATTCCTCTATAGTAACTTCAACTGATGCAGCCCGAAGAGTAACTTCAACCTTACTTATTTTGATTATTACACTATTCAATGCGTCAAATCAAAAACTATGTATTCAATGAAAAAGCCGACCAATAAGACCAATAAGACAAAAAACAGGGTTATCAAAGGGCTCAAAATATTAATCATGAACTGAATGTATGCTGTATAGAAATGCCTCAAGAAAATGTTCATTTTTAATGCCCCGTATACTTCGCCTACATAAAATCTAATTTTTACCTTGCTAACTGTTTATACATAATTCGGTGTTAGTTTTGAACTTAAGAAAATATTGAGAACAAGTACAACAGAATTTTAGACTTTCTTGTTTCCATTCCCAGTTTCACAAGCTCAACACACAGTACAACAAGATGAAAAGTCTCAAACACAAATAAAAAAATTGGTTAAAAGTCTTTATTGTAGCGAGAAGGATATCGGCGGTGTAGTGTCCTTTGAAGCCATTTTCTACACGGCTCTGGGTTTAAAGAAAGAAAACACTCCCTTTCTACTGGATCTCTGATAATATCAAGAGCATCTAGGTACAGTGTACTCGACTCTGGAATAGTATCTTCCATTTCATTCAAGTACTGTATGGCTGTACGTAGGGAGTAATCAGGAACACTTCCAGCCAAACAAGTCTTCAAGAACTGTTGGGAAATTGCTCATTTGTGAGTTTGACAAGTTTGCTTGTGCATGCCCTCAACTCATTCACCCATGCCTCTCCACTCTTAAAAGGTGGTAATGTACGTGTAGTATATACATACCTAAATGCATATCTGATTGCCCATATGGAGCAACCTCGATGCTAGATATTTTAGCTTTAAACTTTGACTTTTCTACTACAATTAGAATATTGTCATAGTTTAAGCTTGACAATGTGATGTCTCGCTCCTGCAAATACATCAACCTTAAAAGAATTCGCCTATTACTTATGGAGAAGATTAAAGGTTAAACCAACTCTATATTTAAAAAATTACTAACACAATCAAAATATTAACGAAACACAAACCTCATCATATCGACGTTGTTCGTGTGAATATACGGTAGTGCAAAAAAAATTCTAATGTAATTTTTGGTTGAGCCAATGCACAATATATACATGTCAACACAAACTCCATACAGAAAATCCTAATAACATTGTCATTATCATCACTTATGTATATTATAATCAGCATATCTTCATTGAAACAGTCCTTTAGGAACATAATGACACGTGCATGGCAAAACCTATTAAAGGTTTCGATATATGGCCCTACGTGCACACTCTTATAGATGAAAATTATGATATTAGAACCAACTTGAAGGGTGGAAGTGATGGAATATGGTATTTTAAATGATCTTTGAAAGCATTGACACAAATGACTTCTAAACCGGAATTTGTTTTTTTCAAAAGCACCTCTTTGCACAATGCATGAGGTAATGAGAGAGCTGAACAAATTAAGAAATTAAATAGGAAAAATATGAGAAGAAAACTTAATGTTCAACATCAACTATCTCAAACATTTCTCAAGCTGAAGAAAAAGTAAAACCATATATCAACAATTTATGCATTGTTTACTTCTTTTTTCCAGTTTTCTTCTCTGCTTTGTGTTTTTCCAATTTGGGAAAAAATATAGCTGTGTGAGTAAATAAGTTGATGACTGAAAAAAGTTTTTGACTGACACAAGTTTTTGACTAACACAATCTGGTTAAAAGGACATTCAACACATCAGCAAGCGATTTAGTTCCTATAAGCAAGCAGAATTGTACTCCAAAAGAAATGAACACCTAACAGGCAGTAATTAACATAGTAAATATACTAATGCACATGTTTCTACATTACAAGGACTGAAGGACATAATGCCGACAGAATGTTTTTTGCAAGTATTCATCTAGAGCATTGACGGTCTGGGTACCAACCAACATCTGAAATGGTGCATCCAGATTGGCAGTTGGTAGAGAAACATGGCGTACGATTGTATCGAGCAATTCAGACATGTCTTTGGCATTATTTGGTGGACGCTTTGTGTAAGCCGATGAAGCCCATTCTTCTTTTGCAGAGGCATAAAGAACTGGAAAATCTAATTGTTCTCATCATACTACTACCACGCACAGGCGACAGCCGTATGACCGGCCTTATCTCATCATTGCCAGTGGAATCAAACAAATTGTGCCAGTCTTTTGGAATAAGTTTCTTAGTTTAAGAAACCAGCATTAAGAAATAAAAAAAGAACAGAGTGAGTGAAAACTCTACAGTATTAGAGCGGCGGCGGCGAAATTAAGAGGGGAGCAGACGCTGAAAGATGACGGAGGCGAGGTGGAAGCTTCCAGTGGATGCGAGAAGCGGAGGCGGCCGTCCGTGGTGGACGGCGTAGGCGAGGCGGAGGAGGCCGTCCGTGGTTGACGGCGTAGGCGAGGCGGAGGAGGCATCCCTGATGGAGAGAAGTTCGATCGTGAATCTTACTGAGGTGGAGAGAAGTTGGATCGTAAATGTGAGATTTTGGGTAGAAGAAGAAAAGAGAGGGAGAAGATACACATCGGCGACATCGATCGTCAAGCTCTCGTCCTCACTCGCCGGTGCCGAAAGAGATGTGAGGAGATTGATGGCCGATGGCCATCGTTGAGTGCGCTGGGAGATCTATCGATCGGTCTTCTTTAGCTGGAAGAAGAAGCTTAGCTCCAGATCTGTTTTCATCGGTCGCTTTTTAGAAAAAAAAGTAGGAGAAAGGTGATGTTTTGGGAATTATAAAGGGGTTATTTATGCTTTGCACCATCTTTTATACCCTTAATTAGCTTTTGCATTATAATTCAAAAATTGTTAGTATCTACACCCTCCATCCGTTAGTTATCTGTCAATAGGTAAACAGAGGTGTAAAATGACGTCAATGCCCTGATTAAACTAACTTCCACAATCGTTCGTAGACTTCTTTTTCAAAGAGCGTCAATTTGAATGTTCTCCCAGTTGGCTTGGTGCGAGTGAATTAGGGTTGCGATGAACGAAGGAAATAGAATGGAAGATGGTGACAACGTGTGGGTGGATTCAGGAGTACCTATACAGTGTGGTGTGCAAAGGATTCAGAGGACATCAAAGCTTCATGTGAAGAGAAAGATGGATTCTTTACCGGCTCCAAGTAAGTTGAATGATGCTTAGTTTGTCATATTTGATTATGAAGATTCTTTTATAAAGAGTATGTTATATTTAGTTTGTGATACATATTTTTTAATTTTTGATTATTAAGATGGGTTATTTGAATGATTTCGGTTAGGGTACCATTCTATGAATCTAGCATAGATGAAAGAACAAATAGTGATGGTTTTGGTGATATATTCATTGAATTACCTCTACTAAACAACTCTCTGAATGTGCCAAATGTAGAGGATAGCTCACAGTTTTATGAAGGTATATGCTCATTTCTTGGTTCAATATAAGGAAATTATGTTGTGTTGTATATGTATTAAAGTAAATGACTTATTTATATTGTTGATATACATGTTATTGTATTGTGCTATGTAGGTATCCAATTTGAGCAAATTGTTGATGGACTAGATGGGTATGATCTGAATGGATCAGATGATATGAATGGATCAGATGAGGAATTACATGATTGTAGTTCTTATACAGAAGAAGAGAGTGATAGGGATGATGTACAAGGCACAACAAATGGGGAGGATATAGGTGAGGTGTTGAATGATATGCCACAGAAAGCTTATGACTGCAATGAGAAAGCTTTTATTACTTCACGTTCTGTGCAATGGGAAGACCAATTAGACTTGGCAATAGGAAAACAATGGGTCACTATGGATGCAAGCAGAAAGTACATTAGAATGTATGCCATCAAGAATAAATTTGAGATCATATTTCAGAAAAATTGTGCAAATAAGCTGATTTTGAGATGTAAAGGGGAAAGATGTCCTTGGAGGTGTTATGTAATTAGAAAAAATGATCGAAACACAACTGAAGTGAAGTCTCTCCAAGAAGAACATAATTGTGAGAATGATGGCAGGAACAAGAATAAAGGGGCAAATGCTAGATGGATTGCTACTATGCTGGCTGGGGATATGAGACTGCACCACAACAGTTACACACCACAAGATATCATTGCTATAGCTTGGAATAGGTGGACTTTAAACATTAGTTACTGGCAAGCATGGGATGGCAGGCTAATGGTGTTTGGATTTGGGCAGAAAAACGCAGCGGAATAAACAAAAAAAAATACTGCCCAAAAGTAAACAACCGGATCTGAGGTTCTTACTATAAACGAAATTACAAGATATAAGAGGGACTTACATAGCAATCTTAATCAAGGATGTCAGACAGTCCGAGAAAACGATCTCGAGCTCTACCGGTATCCACACGCACCTGATTGGATCGGCCGCAGGGAACGTGCTAGCGTTCACTTCTTTCTTCCTCTCTACTCTAGGTTTTAGAAGTGAATTTTAACTCTTAAAATTCATGGGTCTATATGGCCCTATTTATAAGAGGATGAAAGAATGAGTTTTATAGCTAATAAAACCCTCCAAGATGCCCTAGCCCAATACCATTCGAAACCTTATTTCGAATTGGGCTAATCAGGCTATTTTAATGTTATTAACGAACATTAATGATCCAAATCACTTAGGTGTGTGACCCTGTAGGTTTATATATTATTGGCAGTGGGCTAAAAAATTAATTCAAGTCTCACAAATCATAAGCGGCCTCTAGCAAGACATTATGACTATCCAAAATATATAAATGTCAATTAAACCTGACATAACATTTTAATGATTAATTTGTGCTAATAATTCTCTTTTGTCAAACGATATCTTAATTGAGACAAGGTTAGGTCATGTCATCCTTGTTATTCTCAATTAATATTTCTTGATTACCAAGTAAGATTAATTTTGAACAAATGACACCTCATTTGAGCATGGCCATGCTAATTAATCTTACTTGTCAAGGGGCCCAATAGATATCTTTCTCTCGCTATACGAGAGTGACAAAAACTATCTTGATAATTCACATACCACTACATGGTTCATAATATGTACAATCACCACCTTTATAATTACCCATTTAAAAATAATATTTAATGGTGTTAATACATATTAATTCGCATGCAAGTAACCATGATTATCTCAAGTATAAGAATATAGCGCCTCATCATTATTGAGGACAACACTGATTACATATAACCTAGCAGTGTCCTCAAGTTGGGTCTGTCCAATGAACTTGTTCACTAACAAGCATCTATGTTATTAACTTGATATCTCTATACCCATGACTAGTGGAATATAGCCATCAGTTAATCCACATAATGGTCTATTAATTATTAATGTCCCAGATTAATAATATTAGACCATGGACAATTAGAATATTATGCTTATTTTAAAGTGTAGCATTCCAAAATTAAGTCACGTACTTAATTAGCTACTAAACATAATATTCAGGGACTAAATATTAATAAAGAAAACTCACAATAATAATTAACATAAAATGAGTTTGTGACTTTATTAATTAATGAGCATTAAATATTCATTGATAAATCATAAAGTATGATTGTCCTAGGGCATACTTCCAACAAATGGCACTTGAAGAGCTGCGTGAAAATTATGAGAAAAGTTATACTAAAGTTCCTCAATTGTGCAGACAGATTCTAGCTTCCAATCCTGGTAGTTTGGTTGAGTGCAAATATGACTCTGACAATAAGTTTCAGTATTTATGTGTTGCTTTTAGGTGTAGCTTGGAAGGGTGGAGGACTGGCTGCAGGCCATTAGTAGGGTTGGATGGTTGCTTCCTAAAAGGGAAACATAGAGGAGTGTGCCTAGCAGCTATTAGCATGGATGGAAATAATGGACTGTTTCCTCTAGCAGTCTTCATTTGTAGAAAAGAAGATGGTGAGAATTGGGACAAGTTTTTGGCATTAATAGCTCCGGAGTTGAAGAAACACCATTTGCCACTTACTGTCACACCTGATAGGGCTCAAGCTATTATAACAAGTATTCAGACACATTTGGGAGGCTGCAATCTCAGGAGCTGCTTTAGACACATCTTCAAGAATATGAGTAAATGGTGGAAAGGGGAACACATAAAGGAACTGGCCTGGGCTACTGCTTCAGCATATAAAAAGGTTCACTTTCACAGATGTCTTCAGAAGTTGGATGAGGCTGCAGTTGGTATCAAGGAGTATTTGTTGGAGATAGGTCCAGAGCTATGGTCAAGAGCACATTTTGATACAACTTGTAAGAGTGATCACTTGACAAATAACTTCATAGAGAGCTATAACAGTTTTATATTAAGCCAAAGGGATAAACCTGTGTGTTCAATGATAATAGGTATATCATTCCTTTTAATGAAGATTATATATGATAGGAAATTTCACAGTAGTACTTGGAATAAGAATGATGTTGTACCCAGGGTTTGTAGCATCCTGGCAGCTTATAAAGAGAAGCAAAATGATTATGTCACTTGCCCTTCAGGTGAAGGGACATTCTGTGTGAGAAAAATTACCGGGGGAACATTGGATTATTAACTTAAACAAACAAGAGTGTGAGTGTTGTGAGTGGAAGGTCACAAGCATCCCATGTGTAAATGCAGTGCATTTGATTAGCCATTTGAGACTTCCACTACCTCAGCATGTTCCTATTAACTTTACTTTATTTCTTTGTTTAATTTTTATATTGGAACTGAATGCTTGTTTTGTATTTCACTTCATGTTGTTGCTGGTTATAGATTTTGTAGTCCATTACTACATGTGAAGGCCTACAAAGCATGTTATCAAACTAATATCAAACCAATATCACATGAAAGTGATTGGCCAGAGGTAGTATGAAATCAATATATACATTCATGCATTCCAAAATCATTAGGCATAGATACTAACCATATTAAGCACTATTTTAAAATTGTGCAGGGAAATGAACTTCTGCTGCCACCTAAGCTTTCTAGAGCCCCCGGGAGGCCTAAAAATAATAGAGTAAAAGGGCATGATGAGACAGAAACACAAGGCAGTAGTCAGAAGAAGTGCACCAAGTGCCAATCTTTTGGGCACAACAAAAGATCATGTCAAGGAGGGCCAGTTGCTAGAGGTGGTGGGAGAGGTGCTACAGGTGGTGCAAGGGCTGATGGAAGGGCTGGTTCAAGGGCAGGTGCAAGGGCTGGTTCTAGGGCTGATTCAAGGACAGGTGCAAGGGCTGGTCCAAGGGCTGATTCAAGGGCTGGTGAAAGGGGTGATTTTGTACTAAATGGGCGTGGTGCTGGAAGGGCAGGTGGTACAAGGGGTAGAAGAGGTGGTGGAAGTACTACTGCCTATCACCAGTAAGTCATATGTGTGTGTGTGTGTGTATATATATATATGTGTGTGTGTGTGTGTGTGTTTGCAGAGTTGTTGACACAACTAGTGTTTACCACAACTAGTTGTTGCTACAACCGGTTTTGCTCACTGCACAGATGCAATATATGTGGTCCAACATGGTTTTTTTGCTCCTTGTAAATTCTAGACATGAAGCTTACTCTTTTTGTAGAAGTACTAGAGCTAACTTGTAACACCCCGGCCCCGTAGGCCCCGAGGTAATTACTTCTGACCTCTAGTACCGTCTTCACAAACCGCCACTAGTCTTTTTCGCGCACTTTGTCCTCTCTCGTGCGTGCCCTGAGAAACTTCCCAGGGGCTCACCCATCCCAAGACTACTCCCATGCAAGCACGCTTAACTTTGGAGTTCTTGGCTAATGAGCTCCCTTAAAAGGAGATGCACCTTGTTAGTATGAGTAGTACTATTAATCCGTTTAGATTAAATCTCAAGTATTACAATCACCCCCACTTAGGAACGCAATGTCCTTGTTGCGTCCATAAACCAATCTCAATCATATCCCAGAATCTTTTCCCCAGCTAAGTGCCCGCCCGATATCCAACAGATCAGCACACTGTCGCAGGGTTGCTCTGATACCATTTGTAACACCCCGGCCCCGTAGGCCCCGATGTAGTTACTTCTGACCTCTAGTACTGTCCTCACAAACCGCCATTAGCCTTTTTCGCGCACTTTGTCCTCACTCGTGCAGCTCCTGAGAAACTTCCCAGGGGGTCACCCATCCCAAGACTACTCCAATGCAAGCACGCTTAGCTTTGGAGTTCTTGGCTAATGAGCTCCCTTAAAAGGAGATGCACCTTGTTGGTATGAGTAGTACTATTAATCTGTTTAGATTAAATCTCAAGTATTACATAACTAGTTTGCTTAAATTAGATAACAACAAAGTATAAACACTTTGCACTTGCAGTTTTTTGCTCAATGTAATATGAAAGGTCTGTAGACCAAAACAGTTATATTATATAATGAGTTTTTCCTCATAAGTTGAATTACATCACTGACTTTTACCAGCCCTTGCACCTGCCCTTGAGCCAGCCATTGAATCAGCCCTAGAACCAGCCCTAAAACCAGCCCTTGAATCAGCCCTTCCATCAGCCCTTGCACCACCTGTAGCGCCTCTCCCACCACCTCTAGCAACTGGTCCTCCTTGACATGATCTTTTGTTGTGCCCAAAAGATTGGCACTTGGTGCACTTCTTCTGACTACTGCCTTGTGTTTCTGTCTCATCATGCCCCTTTACTCTATTATTTTTAGGCCTCCCGGGGGCTCTAGAAAGCTTAGGTGGCAGCAGAAGTTCATTTCCCTGCACAATTTTAAAATAGTGCTTAATATGGTTAGTATCTATGCCTAATGATTTTGGAATGCATGAATGTATATATTGATTTCATACTACCTCTGGCCAATCACTTTCATGTGATATTGGTTTGATATTAGTTTGATAACATGCTTTGTAGGCCTTCACATGTAGTAATGGACTACAAAATCTATAACCAGCAACAACATGAAGTGAAATACAAAACAAGCATTCAGTTCCAATATAAAAATTAAACAAAGAAATAAAGTAAAGTTAATAGGAACATGCTGAGGTAGTGGAAGTCTCAAATGGCTCATCAAATGCACTGCATTTACACATGGGATGCTTGTGTAACACCCCATTTTTTATGAGCTAGATATATTAATCAATATTATTTATTTTAGTATGTTAAATAAGTTTCTTCTATGACTAATGTGATTTATTATTTGAGCACGTGTTGTTCTGGCAGGTAACGTTGACCGGTAAGCTCTAATAATTTTAAGTAAAGGAATAAGAAATGTTTTAAAGCTTAATGAGTTTATTTTGAAATAGAGAATATTTTAATGAGGAAAATTTTAAAGGATATTGGGAGCCCAAATCAATCTTAGCCCAAGTGAGTCTGTTTTAAACTAAATCCCTAGAGAAAGTCACGCCATATGCTTAGATAAGCGCCGCTGAAGCTCTCAAAACCTTTACACCGAATTACTCCTTTCAAACGCCGGAATTCATATCGTTTATCAAATTGGTCCCTGGTATCATCGGATCTTGTCTGGTAAGTTTAATTTGCAGTCTTCTATGCTTTTGCAAAGGGTTTTGCTCTCATAATTTTAAATTTAAGATCGAAACAGGAGGCTGTTTTGGCCGGACAAATTTCACTGC